AGGGCATTGAGTGGTCATCTGCAAGTGGTTATAGCATGCTGTTCCAAGTGGAAAGAGTCCAAACACATTATTTAGGTAGCATTTTGTGCCAGATACCACACAAGTAAAATGAAGTGTAAGTTAATATCTGCACTCTGATCTTTCAATAAATGACAACTTTGCAACATATTTGAGCTATGTCATACAGTCATACACCAATACCAACTGAGAGCTGTTACGGCACTTTTAATCAACAGGATCATTTCCCGCATAGTGTTTAATGGGAATATACTGCATTATATCAGACACCGCACACGGAATGAGCACAGGAGGAGAAATGAAGGATAACTTTCTCCTTCAGGTCCATTCCTCTGCTGATTGACAGCAGGCAGTGTGCTGATGCAATAGCAATCTTGCTAATGGCTATTGCAATTTTAAATAGCCAATAGCAGGTTAGCTATTTCGCTGCCCACTGCCTGCTGTTTACAGTCAGTTGCCACCTGTGGAATCTAGCCGCCAGCAGATAAGTGGGGCAGGTGAGGCATGGGAGGGGTCGAGGCTCTCCTTCACTGCCATCAGTAGGAGTCGATTGATATCAGGTGAATGCCTGCCGTTTACATACAGATGCCCGCTCAAGTTTCCGCAGCTGGATGTAAACAGAATATCAGATATTGGTTATCAGCCTGAAAGGTGGCCCATAGTTGATATCGGTTCTGAAAATACCATGAATAGTATAACCAATAGGGAGGGCTTAAGAGGCAGAGACAGGTCAAGCTAAAAGTGGAAGTGAACTCAAAAAGTGAAGATTTACTATGTTAGAGGGAAAATTTAGAAATGTTGAGTGTGTCTATAAAATGTACCTTTTGTCTGGAAATCCTCCAAAAATGTTGTATGTGTGGGTCCTCAGGCACTGCTGTACCTACAGGCCTCATAGCTGCATATCTGCAGTATGTGATCTAAGACAGTGCTGCCTCTGACTGATAGTCGTATCAGATTTGGAGTGAAATATGGTGATGTCATTACTTTGCTGCTAACTGTTTTTCTTGCTGAAGGCTCTGATATCAGAAAGTAAAGCCCTGACCTCAATCAAGATGGTTGCCTGCACACAGAGAAAAGGCATGGTAACTCAGTAATGGGGGGGAAAAAATACTTCAGGGAGACCACAGGCAATACTGGTGATTCAATTTCTGCCTGCCTTTTTGGCACAGCTTCCAGAGTTCAGTTACTCTAACTTTTTCCAGACAAATTGAGATATGCTGGTTGTTTCTACTACCTCCATCTCTGGATCTTCTGATTCTTTTGACCTGCAGTTTGCTCTTAGAGTAAGCACTGCTTTTTATCATATGCTCCCTTTGAGTTACCAGGATTTACCTTAAAATACAAATCAGATGTATCTTCTGCCACCTGCTCTTTATTTTTAGGGGCATGATCCTTTTTCACACGGGACAAGGCTATGTATAGCGAATGCTACATTCACTACTCTTTCGGAACACTGATTTAAGAAAATAGCAATCTCATACTTACAAAAATCTATCAACATTGAGGTGAACTTTGTAATTGTTTTTAACACTAATTTGCCAAATGCAGTGTTCAGGGTTAGAAATAGTTTTTGGTGAAAACATTTCTCCATAGTCCTCAGTTAAAATTCCTCCACATTTCTCTGAAATTAGAAAAAAAAACAAGGATGTGATAGAAACAAGCTTGTTACTTTTGGTAACATATGACAAAAGTATTGTGTACGTCACATGCAATAAATTGTTCTAAAACTATGTCAGATTAAAGAATAGACGCATTTAAAACAGTGCTGGGATGCTAGCATTTTGTCTATTGTATTACAACAAAACATAAGTAACATAACATAATTGTAGCGTTACAGAAGCATGGTTTTCCTCAGTGTCAGCTTGTACCTGTAACATTACTTTTTAGATATGTTTTATACCGAGCCTCAAAACCACGGTTTTGTCCTGATCCATCACTTCTGAATTCAATAGTCATGACATTAGATGAAGTGAAAATTTGCCCCCCTCCTTGACAAATCTTGCCAAGTATATGGCTACTTCGGTACCCATCATATATTGTCAGATAGTCATGATCACAAGTTGGGTTGCTTTCCAAGCTGTTTTAAAATAACAGAAATAAAAAAAAAATTAAACTTACACGTATAGTAAAATATACTGCATATTTGTATACATATTTATAGATGGACAGACACAAATACAGTTTGTTTATACTCACTTTATGCTAGAAACATTTAGATCCACAAAAGTAGCTGGCGCTGTCTGGATTACCCAGTTACACAAGCTGTTAGGAGGGTAGTACTTTGGGTAATGTGGGCAGAAAATGATACCAGTGCTTTGATACAGTAGACCACCACAGGTATAAGTCAGTACTATAAAGATAAAAGAAAACCATTTTTATTCCTTCCACAGCCAGCAAAACAGATAGCTTCCTTCAGCAGAACGACAAAACAAGCAGCTTTCTTCAGCAGAAACAGAAAATACAAAGCAAAAGTCCTCCAACAATATTGCACCTTGTGCAAAGACCTTCCATTAATTTCTGTGGGCTGGGTGCCACACAGTTTGCTATATAGCAGTTGTGGCCAAACAATGCCCTGTTTTGCACATTATTCTACACTATACTAACTACTATATCTGAGGTCTGTGTGGGCATTTACTTTTTTTGATAAAGGAGGTCTGTGCTGGACTTTTCACAAAAAGTAGTTATCCTGTATGGAAAAGATATACAAAAAAAAAGAAGTTAGTTAAAGAGCAAATCTGTTTTTTTTTAGTCAGATAAATGGCAAATCTATTTCTGACCTGCAGTGTTTTTTTTTAACATAAAAACTGGGAAAACAGTTCATATGCATGCTGCATAGCATATCAGGGGCACCTCAAAGGAAAGCTCATATTCCCTTTGTCAAGAAACCCGATTCTTTCTTTGGACCACTTACAAATTGCTTCTCCTCCTATGGAGAGGAAACCCTAGGGAAAAAATAGGAAGGGGAGGAAAGGCCCCATAACTAGGATAATCAAAGGAAGTTAATAGCCAGGCCAAGCCCAGGCATGCTACTCCTCCAGGTCCACAGTTCCTAAAATCATGGGAGAGCATTCATTGGGAGGCCCCTGTAACGAACATGAAGGTCTATTGAAAAATAACGGTTCTGATATTTCTGTTAGGCCAGAGGAAACACAAAGACTGAGGTGACTGAGTAGGCAACCCCATTTATTTTAATTGTGGATGATCTGTTTTATGTGGACGGAACCCATCTCTCCTGTGCAGTCCTGGAAGATGATTGGGGAAATTAATTTCCCCTTTTCTAATTCCCTGCATATAAATCAACTCTTCAATAGTTGTTGGAAATTACTGGAGATATGTTTTATCATGCTGTTTATGCTCCTGTATCAATAATAAACATTTGTGACCTCCATATATGTGCTATGTCAATAAATATTTAATTATTCCATTGTTAGATTTACACAAGGTTTGTTGTCACTGCTGCAATATGAGGTGGCAAGTGTAACTAATGTTGAGAACCCCATAAAACCTCAAACCAAATACATAGTTAACTGTACCAGTCTGTCTGGCCAATGCTGAACTTGCCTCATATCAGAAATCATGAAATACACCCTTGGTTATAAATATATTATATATAATGCTGTAGGCAAAATATTTAAAAAAAGAAAACATAATCACATATAGCTTTAGTGGCTCAGTAAGACTAATGAACCATGTAAAGCTAACAGAACATGAACCTTTATAAAATATAATATCAGTTAATAAAGTATACATACAAGTAGTACTGCTTGCTGTCCTAGGGGGTGCTGTTGTAGTAAAAGTGGTAAAAACAGTAGTTGCAGGAGTAGTTGATGCTGTTGTTGTTGCAGCAGGAGTAGCTGATGCTGTTGTTGATGCTGTTGTTGTTGCAGCATGAGTAGTTAATGCTGTGGTTGTGGCAGCACAAGTAGTTGATGCTGTTGTTGTGGCAGCAGGAGTAGTTGCTGCTGCTGTTGCAGCATGAGTAGCTGTTGCTGTTTTATCAGCAGGTTCTAGTGTATGAACTGTTCCTTCTGGAGGGTGAAAATAAAAAATATTTTTTTTTCTCCATTCCAAAATTTGTACTAAACTTTTTAAAGAACATGCACTTAAGATTCGCAAACACTGCATCTACTATCCCAAACATTATTTTTCTCAAAGGGAAGGAGAACAATTGAACATAAATGTACAAACTAAATAACACAACTTCACTCACTTGGAATATATTTACTTCTAGTGATGTCAACACTTGGACCAAGACAAGTCATATGAATACTGAGAGGTTAAAGCATCCACATTTATGGGCATCATCAATATGAAAAGAATGTATATAAGACCCAAATTGGTATTGAGCAAAAGCAGAATAAAAAAAAAAGTCGGAATGAAACAGAACAAGGAAAAAAGAAAGAGAGGGGGACCCTTTAAAGAAATTACAAACGGCATGCAATTATATTTGTTAAGTCTTAAAGGACTAACAAAGAAGATAAAGGTTTTTGAGAGGATTTGGGAATAGTCTGGATTGGCTGGTTTTGGTAACCCTCTAAGTATCCAGATCAGTGGAAGTCTCAGTTTTCCACCCCACCTAAAACAAAAAGGGGAAGAAATCTAGTATGGGTCCAGTGGGTCAGTAAAATGCTGAAAGTTAATTTTCTAATGATTTTCGGCACCTAATGAATCAAATAATTTTTTTTACCATGAACCAGGAACATCAGATAAACACTAGAGGATTATATTCAAATCTCATCAACCGTTACTTAGGGAGTTATTCACTCAGCTACCAAAGGCAGCAGAGTGAATAACTAAGCCGAAGTAAACTGGGCCGAACACCGTTCGGCTATTCACTTCAGCACTGTACGGATGGTTTCAGCTGTACATTGCCTAAAATCAGTCGTACATCTGCTGGATTGGGTCAGCAAAGAAAATATTGTCATCAATTACCTTTAATGTCAAAATCAAATGTCTTTATTCAACCTCGCCTACTATGTTACCTGAACAGGTGGCTCCAGCATCCTCAGCGTGACCACAGTTACTAGTGCCCAGTCCTCGGTGGGGGCAGGACCACAGATGAGTTTCATTTCCCCGACAATTCAGATCATCTAGTAAAATGTTTCCTTTTCCTTGTCCATAATATGCATTTAGGTTTACTGAAATTGGTTTGCCGCAACCCATTTGGCGGCACACAACTTCTGCATCGGTCATATCCCACATATCATCGCACACTGTTCCCCAATGATCATTAAATAAGATTTCTACCCGACCAGCACATCTTCTTCCTCCATTTATTAGCCTCAGAGCCAAATCTGATATAACACAGAAAACACAATGTAAGCTTCATGCTGAAATGCAATACAAGGCATTACACTGCACTACATACAAGATTAGTAATGACGCTTTCTTATCAGCACCCCTCTTGAAGCACCTACTGAATGCTAAATGGTATTTGTGTTGGTATCAGCAAGGCATGCTCTGCGTTAATGCAGTCCTGAGGATATCAACCAAAGTGCCAAGCAAATGTGAAAACAATTAGCTAAAACTTTTTAAAAGTATAAGTGACACTTCATGGCAATATGATAGGACCAGGGCACTGTTTTACGATTTTACCAGGACAATGGACAACTTACAACTTACTGACTACATTTTCTTTTATTATTGGCGGAGCCCAAAAATAAGTTGCGTCATTGGCCAGTAAAGGAGAAGCAGCATACAGAGGACTTAATTTCTCTTTCACAGTGCTCTGCTGTAAGCACATGGGAATTAGCTGCATCTCTCTCTCCCAATCTGAATTCTGCTCTACTAGATTGCAAGTGGTTGATACAAATTCAAATTCAATATATTGCACTACATGCATATAAAAAAACATTTTTATTGTATTATTATTAATTTGTGTATTTTATATCTGCCTGCAGTTCCGCTCTACTGTGTAATAAAACTATTTACACACACATATACATATACATACACAATCACATGCATAAATGCAATAGGTTGAACTTGATGGACTTGTGTCTTTATTCAACCTCAAATACTGTGGGGATTAAAGCAGAACTCCAGTCTTGCCTTCAACCTTGAACAGCTGTATAGGCTCCTCTCCTGTACTGAAATTGCTTACTCCAATTGCACTGCGCACATTAAGCTTCTCACAGTCTGCATCAGGAGCTACAGCAAGTCAGAAATGGACCATCTCCTGACTAGAGGATACCCGGCATCAACTATTGCTTTCTGCCCGAGCTGAAATGTCCATAACCTGCATTCAACCGATTTCAGTTCTTCCAATCATGGAGGCTCAGCATCACATGTGACCATTAGCACAGCTTCCTGTTTTCAGGAAGCTTTGTAAAACACCCTGCGACCCCTTCCACCAGTGATGATCAGCCTTCATTGCATAAGAAGCAGAGAGACCCAGTGATCATATCAGCTTTCAATATTTTTAGTCTGTGCACAATATTGCCATATATATTAATATACCATATG